CACCTCTACCAAGACTTCTTTGTTCAGGTGGGCAAATGAGAAGGACGCCAGTTTCGACAGGGCGTCCGCGCGCTTGTTTTGGGATCTTGGCACCCGCTTGATTTCAAAAGTATCGAACAGGGCTATTGTCTCTCGTACCTTGGCCAGGTATTTCTTCATAACCTCCTCATTGGCCTCGTACTCCCCGCGAACTTGGAGGACGACGAGCTGGGAGTCGCTCCGGACTCTGATCACCGTTATACCCATCTGGTGGGCTATCCGCAATCCCGTAAGCAGGGTCTCGTATTCGGCTTCATTGTTGGATGCGGGGAAGTCAAGTCGGAGAGCGTAAGTCAACTCCTCCCCGGTGGGTGAGATGAGCAGCAGGTCAGCTCTGCTGCCTTCTTTGCTGGAGGCCCCGTCCACGAACAGAATCCAAGGTTCCCCCTGCCGCGCCTCACTGGGCGGGGAGTTCTGCCCGGTCATGGCCAGGCTAGCCCCTTCAGCAAGAAAATCTGCCAAGGCCTGAGCCTTAATAGCAGTGCGGGGCTGATAACCGATATAGTGCTCGGCCAGCTCGACTGCCCATTTGGTCATCCTGCCTGAGATCTCGGGCCTTGTAAGTATCTGTCGTAATGGCTGATCGGTTACGATGATGATGCTATGAGTCTGGAAATAAGGTCGGAGTTTCCGGGCAGCGTGCACCAAGGCAAGGATCAGCCTTTCAGCCGGCGTGTACTGCGTCTCCGACGCTTGTAGAGCACGGCTGACATAATATATCGGCCTCTGAGTCCTCCCGTCTTCCCGCACCAAGACCGCGCTGACGGCCTCGTTGCAAGCAGACAGGTACAGGAACAAGGTCTCCTCTTGCTCCGGGGCGGTCAGAGTGGGCAGCTCAGCCAGGTAGGCCTTCAGGTCGACAAAGGCTTTCTGACACTCTGCAGTCCATTGAAAGTCCTTGGGGGCTTTCAGGATTCGGAAGAAGGGCAGCCCCCGGACCGCGGAACGCGAGAGGAATCTATTCAGGGCGGCCATCCTCCCTGTGAGCCGCTGGACCTCCTTCACGTTTCTCGGGGGGGCCATGTCCATGATAACTTGAAACTTGTCCGGGTTGGCCCGGATCCCGTCCCGAGACACCAGGAACCCCAGGAACCTCCCCGACCTGACCCCGAAGATACATTTCTTCGATTCAGCCGTATCCGGCTCTCCCACAGGATGCCCAAGATTTCCTTCAGGTCAGGGATGAGCTGCTGATCAGTTCGGCTCTTGACGATCATGTCATCCACGTAGACCTCCATGCTCCTGCCGATCTGATTCTGAAACAGTTTATTGACTAAACGCTGGTAGGTGGCTCCCGCGTTCTTCAGGCCAAACGGCATAGTCCGATAGCAGTAGGTTCCATCCTCAGTGATGAAGGAGGTCTTTTCCCGATCCTCCTCAGCCATTTCTATCTGGTGGTACCCCTTAAAGGCATCCAGAAAACACAAGACATCAAAACCCACAGTAGAATCTACTAACCTGTCGATTCTCGGTAGAGGAAAGCAGTCCTTCGTGCAGGCTTTGTTGAAATCCGTGAAATCCACGCACATCCTCCAAGTCTGGTCCTCCTTCTTAACCAACACCGGGTTGGTCAACCAGGTTGGGTAGTAGACCTCTAGGATGATCTTAGACTCCAACAATTTTTCGACTTCCTTCTTGATTACCTCGTTCCTTTCTGGGGCGAAACTCCTTTTCTTTTGCTTCACCGGCTTGAAGCGGGGATCCACATTGAGGTGGTGGACGGCCAGGTTGGTCGGAATCCCAGGCATGTGCTCCACCGTCCACGCGAAGATCTGGGAGTATTCCCTTAATAGGGCCTTCAAGTCCTCCTTCTCCTCAGGGGGCAGCAGCGCGCCTATGCGGATCACCTGGTCGGGTCGGTCTTCCCTCAAGGGGAACTTCTCGACCTCATCCCGGGTGCCCGGCTGCCGAGTTTCGTCCCCCGGGATGTAGGGCTCCAGGCAGGTCGTCTGGACGACCACCTTTTTCCGTCCATGGAGCATGGCCAAGTAGCAAACTCGGGCCACCTCGGGATCACCGCGTACTTCGGCTATCCCTCCCGGAGTGGGGAACTTGACGCTGAGGTGGAGCGTCGAGGGGATAGCTCGGAGAGCGTTCAAGGCAAGTCGGCCCAGGAACACGTTGTACGGGGATTGTTGCTTGACCACCACGAAATTGACAGGGACGGTCCGGCATTTGGGGGCCTGCCCTACCGTGACCATCAAGGTAATCATTCCCTCCGGGTTGATAGGGGGTCCGGTAAAACCCACCAGGGGTCAACTGCCCGTCCTCCAAGCCGAACTCCTTGAACACCCGATAGAACATGATGTCGACCGCACTTCCCTGGTCGACATATACCTTCTTCACCCGATAGTTGTTGGTAACAATGTCTATCACGATGACCTCGTGGTTCCCAGACGCTAGGGAGACTGCATCTCTTGGCCCAAAAGTGATCTCCTCGACCATGCGTAACCGTTTCAGGGAGTCATCTCCCTGTGGGGGAGGTCGCCTGCTTTTCCGAGCTGTGTGACTGTCCCCCCCGGTGGGGCCCCCGGCGATGGTGTTTATCACTCCAGCTAGATTCTGGGTGTCTTGGTCTGGAGAATGGCCCCGGAGGGCGCCACACCGCTCAGGACGGTCGCGACGCTGGCCCCCACCCCGATCACCATGGTAGGCGTGCCCGGGCTCCTGGATGGGGCGACCTTGCCACACGAATCGCCCGGTTGCCGCACGTTGCCTGCTTGTATTTTCATGGGATTATTTTATTAATTGGATGTCAAGGGCCCGATATTCAATGTGATTTATTAATCTCGTGCCAATTTAGTCAATTAAATTCGTAATTGTTTGATTGATTAATATTAGTGGCAACTGGTGTGTTTACACATTAGGGGAACGTGCAATCTAATTTAAATAACCCTCATAGCGTGTTACTGATTAGGGCTAGGTTTTTCTGGCTATTAATGCAATTGAAAAATTAATTCCTATGGTCGAACTTAGGAGTACTTTTCTGGTTAGGGGTGATTAATGGTCGTACCTTGATCATCTATAAATTAAGGAAAAATTGGTCATTAGACTTCATCGATGGCTATAACTAGCCTATTAATAAATTAAGTGAACCTCTCTTGCATCAATGATCGGATAAATGGACTGTGTCTGAATAGTTGCATCCTTGGCTAGAATTTATTTATTCTTGATTTAATTCCTGTTATATTCGTGCTAGTTAATTATTCAGTTTTAGTTGAATTGTTTAATTGCTTTTAGCTTCATTCTGGTGAAATCCCCCCTTACCAATTGGAATTTAAAAGAGACAAATATCCCCAGTCCCTGAGGAGACGACCCTACTTGTCACTGTCTACTATTTAGTAATTTTTGTCAACTAATTAATTCTGATATATCGGATTAAGCAAACTCTTCGGGAACAGGGTGAATCAAGTAACCCATTGCACACCTAGAATTCATGTTCCAGTACCTAAGATTAATTATTGACTACTTTTAGTGGTAGTTAGGTTCTATTTTTATTATTGCACAGGCTGACGACCTGTCAATTTTTGGCGCCGTTGCCGAAGACTGGCGTTATTATTTGTTTCGTTTTAAATTCATTTTTTTGTCCTAATTTTCTGGTTTTCTTCTAGTGTATGCCTCGATCTTCTCGTACAAGTGATTTGATTTTTGACCCTGAGGTAGAGAAGACTGCGCGTAGAACGAGAAAGGAAACCAGACAGTTCAGAGAGGAGCACTCCAGTGCTGCATCTCAGAGACCTGAGCCAGGAGTTGACCCAACAGATTCGTTTAGTGACACTTCAAGTGACTCTGACCAGGAGGAAGGAACCATGGCTAATGCACGAACATTAAGGGAGTTGGCTGCCCCTAATTTAAATCAGCAGCATCTATGCATTACCTTCCCCACCTTAAATGATAACACTCCATTTGAACTAAAATCTGGTCTGATTCAACTTTTACCCTCTTTTCATGGTTTACCAGGTGAAGAGCCGTATAAGCATCTGCAGGAATTTGATGTCGTGTGCAACAGTATGAAACCCCCCGGAATCACAGAAGAGCAAATAAAAATGCGGGCATTTCCTTTCTCATTGAAAGACTTTGCAAAGGATTGGTTATACTACCTGCCACCAGGTAGCATTACCACGTGGGATCAGTTGCAGAGAAAATTTCTAGAGAAATATTTTCCTGCATCCAGCGCTGCAAGTCTACGGAAAGAAATTTGCGGGATCAAGCAGCATCTCGGGGAGTCACTTTATGAGTATTGGGAGCGATTCAAGAAATTGTGCAACAAGTGCCCCCAGCACCAGATAAGTGAGCAGTTGCTCGTACAGTATTTTTATGAGGGGCTCCTTTTCAGAGACAGGAGCATAATTGATGCTGCAAGCGGAGGGGCACTGGTGAACAAAATCCCTCGGGAAGCACGGGAGTTGATAGAGGGGATGGCAGAGAATTCACAACAATTCGGTACGAGAGAGAATGTCCCAATATGCAAGATGAATGAGATAGAGACATCCTCTATCCAGCAGCAGCTAACTGAGCTGACCTCGTTTGTTAGGCAACTGGCTGTAGGGAATGCATCTCAGGCCAGGGTGTGCGGGATTTGCACTGGTTTGGGTCACTCTGCAGACATGTGCCCAATGATTCAGGAAGAAACTGCAGAACAGGTGAACATGGCTGGTCACGCGCCCGCGCCAAGAAAGCAGTACGACCCTTACTCAAGCACCTACAATCCCGGGTGGAGAGATCATCCCAACCTCAGTTATGGAGGAAATAGGCAGCCCAACTTTGCACCGAACAAGCAGTCTAATTTCGTGCCAAATAAGCAACTAGGGTACCAGCAGCAATACCAAACCCGACCACCTCCATCCCCAAGCTCTGATCCATATTTGGAGGAGATGATGAAACAAATGATGGCAACCATTACGCAAAATCAGCAAAGGACGGACTCCGAAATATAGGACATAAGGAATCAGATAAATCAAATGGCCACAACAATCAACCGCTTGGGTTCCCAGAACCAAGGTAAATTGCCGTCTCAGCCTGAATTAAATCCGAAAAACGTGAGCGCAATGACCCTAAGGAGCGGGAAGGAAATTCAGGGGCCTGAACCTGTGATCCCTAAGGATAAGGATGAGAAAAAGATCGAAAATGAGCTTGAGAAGGAGGACGGCAATGGTGCAGACCCAAAGGTACTTCCAGACCCAGTAATTACAGTTAAAACTAACCCGCCTCCTTTTCCTAGCAGGTTGGAAAAATCGAAGAAGCAGGATAAGGAGAAGGAGATCTTGAAGGTTTTTCGCAAGGTTGAGATAAATATCCCCCTGTTAGACGCAATCAAACAAGTACCAAAATATGCCAAATTCCTAAGGGACTTATGTGTCAATCGAAGGCGATTGAGGGGGGATGAGAGGGTCATTGTTGGGGAGAATGTGTCAGCGGTCCTGCAGAGGAAGCTTCCACCCAAGTGCGGGGACCCAGGTATGTTTACTATCCCCTGTAGGATAGGCAACACTGTGATTAGAATGGCCATGTTGGATCTGGGAGCATCAATTAATGTCATGCCTAAATCTATCTATGCTTCTCTAAAACTAGGTCCATTAAAAGAAACTGGGATAATTATTCAATTAGCTGACCGAACCAATGCATATCCTGATGGGTTGATTGAAGATGTGTTGGTAAAAGTTAATGATTTGGTGTTTCCAGCTGATTTTTATGTACTTGATATGGATGATGGTCACTCGCCCGATCCCTCACTTTTGTTATTAGGTAGACCCTTTATGAGCACAGCACAAACAAAAATTGATGTTAATAAGGGTATCTTGTCCATGGAATTTGATGGAAAAATTGTGCATTTTAATATCTTTGATACTATGAAATATCCCTCAAACTCCAACTTTAGCTTAGTTTTATCTGTGAGTGCTATTGATCCTACGGTGCAGGAAGTATTTGAAACTGTTGGCAGGGATGAATTGGAGGTAGTTTTGACCAAACACCTCGAGTTGGAGACAACTCCTGAGATGGAATGGAGTGAAGATTTAAAGTGCACGATAGGAGCACTACACTCATTGCCAACCTCCACGAAAAGGTACGAAGTTTCACCTATATTCATTCCCGAACCTCACCAGAGGGTATTGCCATCGGTGGTGCAGGCGCCTGTTTTGGAGTTGAAACCCTTACCAAAGCACCTGAAGTATGCATATCTGGGTGACAATGAGATACTCCCGATGATTATCTCATCGGCACTGTCAAAAACCCAGGGGGAGAAACTGATCCGGATCCTTAGAGAGCATAAAGAGGCGATAGGTTGGACAATCGCAGACATTAAGGGGATCAGCCCGGCCATTTGTATGCACCGGATTAGACTGGAAGAGGATGCTAAACCTGTTCGGCAGGCTCAAAGGAGGCTCAATCCCCTCATGATGGAAGTGGTGAAGAAAGAAATTTTGAAATTGCTAGATGTGGGGATTATTTTTGCAATATCAGATAGCCCTTAGGTGAGCCCCGTCCAGGTAGTCCCAAAGAAGGCAGGAGTGACGGTAGAGGCCAACAAAACGGATGAGCTCGTACCAGTACGCAAGCCTACTGGATGGAGGTAGTGTATAGACTACCGTAGGCTAAACGCCGTCACCAAAAAGGACCACTTCCCTCTCCCTTTCATTGACCAAATGGTTGAACGATTGGCTTGTAGAGCTTACTACTGCTTTTTGGATGGATTTTCAGGATATTTTCAGATAGCAATTGCACTAGAGGATCAAGAGAAGACAACCTTCACGTGCCCGTTCGGGACCTTCGCCTATAGACGAATGCCATTTGGGTTGTGTAATGCACCTGCAACATTCCAGAGATGTATGGTAAGTATTTTTCTGAATACGTGGAGAAAATTATTGAAGTCTTCATGGACGAATTCAGTGTGTATGGTGATAGTTTTGATACGTGTCTAGATAACCTGAAATTGATCTTGATAAGGTGTATAGAGACGAATCTTGTCCTTAATTGGAAAAAATGTCATTTTATGGTTGAGCACGGAATAGTGCTGGGTCATATTGTATCGTCTAAGGGCATCGAGGTTGACAAGGCTAAAATAGACATTATGTCTGCTTTACCTTACCCCGCGAATGTGCGGGAGGTGCGTTCTTTTCTTGGACATGCAGATTTTTATCGGAGGTTCATCAAGGATTTTTCAAAAATTGGGGCCCTGTTGTTCCAACTCTTACAAAAAGATGTGACCTTTGAATTCGATGACAAGTGTGAGAAAGCTTTCAACAAGTTGAAAGAGCTACTGATCTCACCCCCGATCATCCAGCCCCTCGATTGGAGTTTGCCATTTGAGATTATGTGCGATGCCAGTGATCATGCTGTAGGGGCTGTATTGGGGCAGTGAGTAGGAAAGGCAGCTCACGTCATCTATTATGCATCCCGCGCACTGAATGGGGCCCAGTTGAATTACTCCACCACTGAGAAGGAGCTTCTTGCAGTTATTGTTGCTTTAGAAAAATTCAGGTCATATTTGTTAGGTGCTAAAGTGATTGTATTTTCTGATCATGCAGCATTGCGGTATCTGATGACCAAGAAAGATGCAAAATCGAGGCTCATACGGTGGATATTGCTCCTACAGGAATTTAACCTGGAGATAAGGGATAAAAGGGGCTCAGAGAATTTAGTCGCCGACCATTTGAGTCGTATACCCGTTGGGAAGGATAATGAACCATTGAAGGATGCATTCCCTGAGAAGCATTTATTTTCTTTAAATTCTCAAATGCCTTGGTATGCCGATCTGGTCAATTATTTGGTAACTGGTGATTTTCCTGCAGGTTGGCCAAAATCGAAGAGGGATAAATTGAAGAGCGACGCCAAATATTTTATCTGGGATGACCCGTACCTATGGAAGAGGTGTGCAGATCAAGTGATGAGAAGATGTGTAAGTGAAATGAAATTTCACTCGATTTTAGCTTTTTGTCATACTTTTGCCTGTGGAGGTCATTTTGGACCTAAACGGACTGCTAGAAAAGTGTTGGAAAGTGAATTTTATTGGCTTACCTTATTTAAGGATGCTTACTTGTTTTGTAAGACATGTGATAAATGTCAGAGGGTAGGCAATTTATCCCGAAGGGATCAACTGCCACAGGTGCCCATGCTTTTCATTGAAATTTTTGATATTTGAGGTATAGATTTCATGGGCCCCTTTCCAAATTCTTGTGGATTTTTATACATTTTACTAGCAGTGGATTATGTCTCGAAGTGGGTGGAAGCAAAAGCCACCCGCATTAATGATTCTAAGGTGGTTGCAGATTTCATAAAGTCTAACATTTTTGTGCGATTTGGAATACCACGGGCAGTTGTGAGTGATAGGGGAATGCATTTTTGCAACAAGACAATTGCTGCTTTGTTCAGGAGATATGGTGTACTTCATAAGGTTTCCACTTCCTACCATCCACAGACTAATGGCCAGGCTGAAGTTTCGAATAGGGAAATAAAGTCTATTTTGGAAAAGATGGTCCGCCCTGATAGGAAGGACTGGAGTTCAAGGTTGGAAAATGCTTTGTGGGCATACAGGACCGCTTACAAGACACCTATAGGGATGTCTCCCTATAGGTTGGTATTTGGTAAGCCTTGCCATCTTCCAGTGGAATTCGAGCATAGAACATTTTGGGCCGTAAAACAGTGCAATATGGATATTGAGGAGGGCGGAATTCAAAGGAAGTTACAATTACAGGAGTTGGAGGAGATTCGCAATGAAGCCTATGAGAATGCGATAATTTATAAGGAGAAAAATAAGATTTTTCATGACCAACAGATCTCTAGGAAGACATTCATTTGTGGGCAAAAAGTTCTACTGTATCACTCCAAATTGAAGTTATTTCCAGGTAAATTACGTTCTCGTTGGATTGGCCCTTTTGTTGTGACTAATGTCTTTCATTATGGTGCAGTAGAGATCCAAAGTTTGAAAACTGAGAAGAAATTTGTAGTGAATGGTCACCGTCTCAAGCCATATTATGAAGGTTTTCCAATTGAGCGGGTGGAGATGATGCACTTAGAGGACTCGTGATAGGGTACAATTTGTTAGTGATTTTATTATTAATTTCCTTTTTTTACCCCTGATAAATATTGTGTTAATTGCTGATATTTACTCACATTTGGTATCTGGACTTAATTTCAGGAATAAAGCAGAAAACTACCAAAAAGGAGGGACTCTATGGAAAATATGGAGACTCCTAAGGGCTTCAATGCTTGGGCCCTTGAATTGGTGGGGACCACAAGCTAGTGGAAAGCATCTAGTCAATTGGGCTCTTAAAAGAAAGCTACGGAAAGAGACTTGGGGCAAGAAGTACTTTGAAGGCTTTGTCCACATGTGTGGGGACCACCTAGATAGACTTTAGTCATCTTTCTTTTGTTGCTTAAATAGGGATAACGTAGAGTAGCAGGGACATCTCTCTAGTTTTAGTCTTTTAGTTTAGTTTTAGTTCTTCTTTCCTCCTGACTGGCCTCTGACACACGCCAGGTGTTCGACAATATTCCCCAACGGGAAAAACACCTTTTATTCCTTGCTTCTTAATAGAAAACGGAATGCCTTTGCAATCTATTAATTCGTGTGGTGATTTAATTATGCGGCGTGGCTAAATCTTCCATCTAGTCAAGGGTCAACTCGACGGCGCAGTCCCGAAAATCTGTGAGATCTAATTAGTTTTCACGTGTTCCTTTATTTATTAATATTTGCACGTTGTCTGCTTGAATTTTCTTGGGATTATTTTATTAATTGGATGTCAAGGGCCCGATGTTCAATGTGATTTATTAATCTCGTGCCAATTTAGTCAATTAAATCCGTAATTGTTTGATTGATTAATATTAGTGGCAACTGGTGTGTTTACACATTAGGGGAACGTGCAATCTAATTTAAATAACCCTCGTAGCGTGTTATTGGTTAGGACTAGGTTTTTTCTAGTTATTAATGCAATTGGGAAATTAATTCCTACGATCGTACCTAGGAGTACTTTTCTGGTTAGAGGTGATTAATGGTCGTACCTTGGTCATCTATTAATTAAGGAAAAATTGGTCGTCAGACTATAACTAGCCTATTAATAAATTAAGTGAACCTCTCCTGCATCAATGATCGGATAAATGGACTGTGTCTGAGTAGTTGCATCCTTGGCTAGAATTTATTTATTCCTGATTAAATTCCTACTATATTTGTGCTAGTGATTTATTCATTTTTAATTGAATTGTCTAATTATTTTTAGTTTCATTCCGGTGAAATCCCCCCTTATCAATTGGACTTTAAAAAGAGACAGATATCTCCAGTCCCTGAGGAGACGACCCTACTTGCCACTGTCTACTATTTAGTAATTTTTGTCAATTAATTAATTCTGGTATATCGGATTAAGCAAACTCTTCGGGAACAGGGTGAATCAAGTAACCCATTGCACACCTAGAGTCCCTGCTCCAGTACCTAGGATTAATTATTGACTGCTCTTAGTGGTAGCTAGGTTCTATATTATTATTATTATTATTGCACAGGTTGACGACCTGTCAACTCGATTTGCTTAGTTTAAGCAAAGTTTTGGACAACGTCTAGCCAAAGACGTTAAAGAAAGGCGCTTTTGGGAGGCAACGCAATTGTTAATTTTGTTATTTTAGTGCTTAATTATTAAATTATGTCGTTCCTCACGTGGGTATTAGTCACTCTTGATGTTTTCCAACTCTGATCAGGATAGGTAATCTTGGCGTGCCCACGCGAGGAGGGCACGCGTTAAGCGTCTAAGTCCAAGTCCCATGGTCAGTGGACGGTTGTAAAATATGGCGTGCCGGCGCCGTGTTATTGAATTCTCAACATCTCGTGATACTGGTAGAAAATAGAATCTTGGCGTGCCCACGCGAGGAGGGCACGCGTTAAAGTGCGTAAGATAACTCTCGAAATCAGTGGATGCTCTCTAATCTTGGCGTGCTCACGCCATGTTTGACGACCAAAAAAAAAATCCACAAAAACTATTTTTTTTCTTTCTCTTTTCTTCTCTTTTCTTCTTTCTTTCCTTCCCTTCTTCTTCTTCCCCCGCTGCCCCTATTTCCCTTCTTCCTTCGCTCATCCGCTGCCCCAGCTAGTCGCACGCCGCCAATCTTCCCTCAAGCCGCGTGCCCACGGCCAGCTTCTCCTCCTCGCGCGCCTCCAGGAGCTTCGTCGCGCGACCTTCTCCTCGCGAGAGCTCCACCTGCGCGACCGCCGCTGCCCCAGCCCGCCGCACTCCAGCTCTGCTTACACCGCCGCACTCCAGCTCCAGCCTCGTCCGCTGCCCAAGTCGCACGCGACCCCTTCTCCCTCGCGCGCGACCCTTCAGACCTCCACCTGCGTCAGCTCCGTCCGCAGCCGGCTCGCCGCCTGCTCGCGGCCAAGGCTCGCCGTGCCCCTCTCCCGCCGCCGCTTGAAGCTGCTCCCTCGCGTGCCGCCAGCTTGCAGCCCCCGCGGCCATCAGCAGCCCCTGCTTTTCACACTCCAGCCCTCGCG